TTGTATTTAACGCTATTTGAAATTTTTAAACGAAATTATTCAAAAGATTTTTAATCCTGGATAATTTTTGTTGAAACTCTAATTATACATCACCTTAATTACCAGCCCCAGCCCCCCAAGGATCCCTAATTGCCTCCTAATTGAATAAAACAGGGGGCTAATCGGGCCCTCCGCGGCCCAGCGAGCTGCCACCAGCCTGGCCTCCCCTCAGGCGCCTGGTTGGGGGAGCCCCTGGCTGCCCGGCCACGGTCACCCAATCTCCCAGCACAAACGGCAGACCTGGTCCCCTGCCCTGCGCACTGCCCAGAGGAGGACTCAGGAGCCGAGGAAGACTTGGGGCCAGGAGGGGCCAGGAGGCTGAGTGCCACCTGCTCTGGAGAGCCACTCACAGGACAAGGAGGGCGGCCCCGGGTGGGAGTCTGGTGGTCGGTGAGCCCAGGGCAAGGCCAGCGCCTGTCCCCAAGAGGCCCACCCAGCAGTTGCTCCACAAGCCAGCTTGGCAAGCCCCCTCCTGCCAGCTTCCGAGCCACGGCACACCTGCCCGCCGGGAGCAGAGGGAGGGCCTGTGGCGACACAGTCCACTGCAGCGGGGCACCAGGCCCTGGCGGCCAGCCCTGCACTCCACCCCTCCACTCTCCACCGCAGCCTCTGTGTTTTCGTCTGAAGCGGGGCAAGACGCTGGACTCCCGCCGGACGCTTCCTGGCGCTGCTGCCCTAACTGGCCTCCTGACAGAAGGCAGCTGTCCTGGCTCTGGGGAGGGGACTGGTGTAAGGGGCTAATTTCCCCAGGGAGAGTGGGAGAAGGGAGGGCCCAGACAGCCTGGCCTGTTTCTGCAGGAAGAAGGAAGGAGGCTGTGAGCTGGGCCTTCGGCCCCGCTCACCTCTACCCTGTCTCAGGCACACCTTCCACACACAGCACCCTCAAACACAAGCAAGACACTCGCAGTCCCCACTGCGGGGGCTGCCGCTCCCCCACCCTAGGGGCTAGATGGCAGGTGTGGAGCGGACACTCCCCCAGCCCTGGGGTATGCAGCGTCTAGGACCCGGTCTGTCACCTAGATGGGGCTCAGGCCTCAAGGGGCAGCTCTGATGGGGTCGCTGGCTGCGACCCTCTCCCAGGCCACATATCCCACCTGCACAGAGGCCCCCCCAGCAGTTGGGAGGGCACCTTGGTGGTGCTAACACCCCACCTGCCCACCTGAATCACAACAGCCCTGGAAACAATGAGCTTTTGTTAGGCGTTTAGTTTGTAAATGTGGGGCCACCTCGGCCACTTCCCCAGGCCACTTCCCCACCGGCCTGCATGGAGCTGGCTTCAATAGGGAGGACCCTGTCCCTTGAACTGTCCTTATTCTGCTCCTGGCCCCAGGCTCAGGTGGAGGAGGCTGTGGGTTTCCCGTCAGCTGAGCCACAGTCCCGGCCTGAGTACCCCAGTGGCCACCTCTGTCCTTGGAAAGCTCAGCTGGGAGCCCTGGTCACCCCCAGAGCTGCTACCATTCAGCCCCTCACAGGACCAGGAGGAGCGACCCACTTGAGCTGAGGCCTGGATGGAGGTCTCCAGAGAAACACAAACGAAATTACAGCCCCAGATGCACACGCGGGGGTGGCCCCCGAAACGCTGGGTCATGGGGTCACCTCCACTGGCCTGGTTGTTTTCCTGTGCCCAGCCTGAACACAGGCCTGGTAACCGTGACTTTGCCCCTGCCCCACCCCGCAGTCCCCTGACCTGGTTGGTACTGTGGGGAGGGGCCGGCCGGAGTGCTGGCCCTACTGCCTCCAATTCAGGTAATAGTGACTGTGGTCCCCGGGGAAGTTAACATCTGCTTAAAATATCGCCTGATGAAATGAATTTCTTCAGCGGATCCTGCCTTGCTCAGGGCAGGCAGTGTGATCCTGAACCTGGCTCAGCCACCTTGGTGGGCCCTGGGGACAGCGGTCCCAGCTGTGGAGCCCGGAAGGAGGGGTTTCCAGCGCTCAGCCAAGTGTGGACGCAGGGCCGAGGCCTGGCTGTCACCTCCCATGGGGTTTTCCTCACTAAAGACTCTCGGGAAAAGGAAGCCAGCGCTCGGCGCTCCCGCTGGGCCCCGCTCTCCGGCCTCCGGGCCAGGCAACCAGACGGCCGCCAGACACCAGTTCTGGTCCTGAGCAGACCCGGTCCCCGGCAACCCTCCCCACCTGGCAGAGGTGGGTCCGGCGGGGAACTGGGGCCAGGCGGGCGCTCGGCGCGCAGGGGCCTCTCGGAAGTTTCCGGGGCCGCGCGGGTGCGCCGAGTCGGCCTCTCGCTTGCAGCGAAGGCCGGGCGACAGCGCAGCGGCTTTCCACTTTCTCGCTCCAGCTTCGGGCCCTGCCCGGGCGAGGGCCTGACCTGGCGGCCCGCACGCAGCCCGGTGGTCCAGACTCTGAGAAGGCCCGCGGTGCACACGCAGAACCGAACCCGAACCCGAACACGCACACGCACACCCCACGCGCGGAGGGCCCGCAGCGCCCTGCACAGACAGCCCCTGCGCGTCGGCCGCGAAACGCCCGGCCTTGTTCGCACCAAGAGGGGTCAGAGGTCACGGGAGGCCGAGGCCAAGGGCACCGGGCAGCGGAGCCCGGCGGGGAGGGGGCGCCTCAAGCAGGGTCCGCGCGCGCGGCCGACGGCGGAGCGCAGGGGAACAACTCGGAGCTGCTTTTCCCAGTGCGGGGCCTACGCTGCGGGGCCGCTGTTGGGACGAGCCGGGCGGGTCCCGAGCCGAGGGAGTGGAGCCTCTGGAAACCACCGCCAGCCCCGCGCTCACCCCTGCTCACGCTTGGGGGTTCGGCCCTGGGTGGCCGCGCGGCCGGCCTGGCGGGACCCGGCCCCGGAGGCGCGGACGGAACGGCGTGGGTCGGGTGGGGACCTCGAGGGGAGCAGCCGGGGCGCCTCTGCCGCGGGTGGGCGGGCTGCCTGCGGAGGAGGGGGTGGCTGCAGCGGGCGGCGCCGGTGCCTCTCCGCGCGGCGCTGGCCGCTTCGCTGTAGCCGGGGCATCCGCGGGGCTGCGGGAGCCGCGCTAGCCGGGCCGCGGCGCCGCCCGCCCCCACCTGCCCGCCTCGGCGGCCGCAGTCCCCAGCACCGCGGGCCCACAGCGGATGGCGCCGGCGGCCGGGGCGCGGGTTGCGCGCGGGCTACTCGGAGGCGCGGCTGCGGCAGGCGAGGGCGCGGGCGGCGGGAGCACTCGGCTCGCGGGAGGGACCGGCTGGCGGCAGGCAGGGCGCGCGGAGCCCGGGGCTCGGCCGAGACGGAGCGAAAGAGAAAGTAAGACCGAGGACCAGGCAGTGCGGCCGGGGACAGTCGCCGCCGGGCCGGGCTGTGCCAGGCGAGCGGGTGCGGAGGACTCCGCTCGGGCCTGAGGGCGGCCGCGGCGGGTCGGGAGGTGGCGAGTGGGGACCCTCCTGTGGGAGGCACGGCCACCTCGGCTGCCCGCGCGGGCTGCCTGCGTCCCCGAGCAGCGCTCTCCACCACCTCGCGGGGCACCGCCGGGGCATAAACTTCACGGCCGCAGTTCCCAGCCCGGGCAAAAGTCTCCATTTTGCTCCCCAAGCGGCTGCGGCCGTTTCTGCCGTCGCCGCCCCTGCCCCTGCGCCCGCGGAGCCGGGTGGGCGCCGGCCCGCGCCCCCTCCTCCGCCCCTCCCCGGCTCGGGGTCTCCCTCCTCTGCGCCCGGCTGGCGGACGCCAAAGGCGGTGCTCTAGCGCCCACTATTTCAAAAGCCCGGAATATGATTTGACCAGGACTGAGAGCCACTGGGAGAGAGAGAGGGAGAGAGCGAGCGGGGAGGAAAAAGTTGCTCTCCCCTTTCGTCAACTTTTCGCTAACTTTCGCTTTTCGCTCCCCTCCACCCCCGGCCCTCCCCCTCCGCCCCCCTCCCCGGCCCCCACCGCGCGCCTCGGGTTCCCGGGCCCGAGCGCCTGACACTGTTGGGGGGGGAGGGGGTTCGGCGGGGAGGGGGCCGGCGCCTTCGGGGAGCGCGCGGCCCGGGCGCCCCGAGCCTCCGCGCCGGGCCCGGTCGCCCCGGAGCGCGGGAGGCGGAGCAGCCCCCCGGGCCGCGCGGCCGAGCCGGGGGCCCCGAGCCGCAGGCGCGCGGGCCGCGCCCCGACGCGCACCCCTGGCCCGGGCGCCCCGGCCCGGCGGCCCGGGCCCGGCGGCGCGGCGCGGCCGAGCGCGGGAGACTTACTTTTGGCTAGCTTCCTCGCCCTCGCCTTGGATCGCATGGTGTCGGCTCGCGGAATCCCTCTCCTCCTCCTTGAGTCCAGAAGCAGCCACACACTATCTTCATCTCCCCAGCATTGTCAGTTTGGACACCTTCGCACATGCGCACAGAGCACTCAATCTGACACCCCTCGCCGGGGCCAAAAAAACTTTGCAATGTATTCATCATCCTCATCGTCGCGCTGCCGCCGCCGCCGCCGCCGCCTCGGCGCGGGATTGGGGGGCTCTCCTCGGCCTTCCCGGTCTCCGTCTCACTTCTCTCTCCCCCCTCTCCCCCCCTTTTCAGCGCAGCTCGTAACTGGCCCTTTAAGAAAACATTCCGTGCTGGGCGCTCCCGCCCGGGGCCCGCACCCCGGACACTTTAAAAGGACCCAGGTGGCCCCGGAGGCGAGGTGACTATCCCCCCACCCTGCCCCTGCCTCGCGTCGCGTCGCGCTGCAGCTCCCGCCCCAGCCGGGGCCGAAGACGGGGTGGCGGCTGCGGTTTTCCACGCGACTTCCTCGGATCTCGGGGCTCGCGCGCCGAGAGTTCGGACGCGGGTCCGGGCGGGTTTTGCTGCGTTTTACTGCATTTTATGACTAATTAAAAAGCTTGGCGTTCCCCGTCGCCCCGGCCCGCTTTTCTCCCGTCCTCTCTCTCCCCTCGGCCCCCGTCCCCGCCCCGCGATCGCCGGAGGGGGTGTCGGGGTTCGCGCGCCAGAACCCGGCTCCTCCGAAGCCCCCTCCGGGCCCCGCCGCCCCCCTCGGGCCTCCCGGCCCCCGCCTCCTCCCCTTCGCCCCCACCCAACGGCTGCTGCTTCGGGCTTCGCGGCTCAAAAACAACAGCAGAGGCGCCGCCAGCTCCGCGCTCCGCCACTGCCCAGGCCGGCGGGCGGCCCTGGGACCCGCCGCCCGCGGTCCTGCGCGGAGCTGCGGAGGCCAACATGCCCCGCGCGGGGGCACAGCGTGGGGGCGGCGGTCCGAACACCGGGCGTCCTCGGCGGATCGTCCCAGCCCGCGCGCTCCTGCCGCGGCAGCCCCGTCGGGCTCCGCCGCGCCCCCAGGTGAGTGACTGGCTGCGCGAGCGCCCGAGCTGGGCCACCTTCGGGGACCCGGGCCTCTGGGAACGCTCCCCTCTGGGCTCTCGGGCCCAGGTGCCTAGGGGGCGGAAGGGCAGGCAGCGCAGGTGGAGCAGCGCGGGCGGGAGCCGACCAAGCGCTTCCTCTGCCCCTGCAGCCCCCAAACTCCGAGGCGCCGCGGAGGAGGAGCCTGGCTGGGTGCAGGCAGGGTGGCCCCGGCCCAGGAGCCTGGCGGCCTGAGTGAGGATTTCCCATCTGAGAATCTGGGAATCGAGAATGAACTAGAAGGAAACCGAGGCGCTGCCTTGCCCGAGTCGCTCCCCTGAGCGCCCTCCTAGAGAACCGAAGTCCTGCCCGGCCACGGGACCGGGAGCTGCCGCAGCGTCAGCCTGAGCCCGGAGCAGGGGTTGCGCCCGCGGTGCGGGGAGTCTCTCCTCCGCCCCGCGAGGCTCCTGCCGTGCCCTCCCTGCCCTTTGTTGTGTAATGAGACCTGTGGCGGCTCCACTGAGACCCACACGTGCAACTCCACGCCTCTGCGTTAAAGGAGGTGAAACGCAGCGGCCCTGAGAACCCCCGAGACCCAGGTGTCTTAGCAGAGGCGCCCGGGATGGGGAGGGGCGCAGGGTCGGCGCTACCCCAGAGAAAAAGCCCAGCAGAGCCGGGCTTGGCCGCAGCCGGCAGCGGCGGTGTGTGCCGGGCCTTCTGCCTTGGATCCTCCGCAGTCGGCACCGCTTGCCTGCTCGGATTCGAACCCGGATGCGGCTCCCACGGGTCCAGGGTGCCCAGTCCTGCAGCCAGCTCGCCGCCGGAGCCCCTGCCGGAGGAAGCGCTCCTTAGCCTCCGCAGGGGCTGTTTCTGGCAAAAGGTGAGTGTCCCCCAGAGAAGGGCCGTCAGCAATGGCACAGCCCTGGTCCCCGCCATCCTTGCGAGGGTCTATCGACCTCCCCACACCCTGACCATCTTTCAACAGGGGCTGGACCACAGAACAGCTGTGTTTAGCGCCCGACCCAGCTCTGGAGGTCTTGCTCTACCTCTCAGGCTGGGGCACCACTGTAGCCCTGGATGGCCAAGGGGGGCCCTGAACCTGCTCACCGGAGTGGCGGGGAGGTGCTCGAGCCCAGGAACACAAGCACTGTCCTGCCTAAACCCCGCCAGAGGCAGGTTTCCGACCGTGGGCCCAGCCTGGCTGGAGCTGCTGGCTACAAAGGACTCAAGGTCACTCCCGTACTCGGCACCCCAGGTCCCTGCCTGCTCCTGCCTGAAGCCTCCAAGGGCTCCGGAGGAGGCCTGGGGTAGTTACCATGGTGCCCGCGAAGCACTCCCATCTGCAGAGAGGGTCTCTACCCCACCCTCACCCTGCAGCCCAGCAAAGGCCTCCTTTTCCCTTGCCCTGGAGGTTGCCAACGGATGCCAAGGTTGCGTATCCCTGGTGCTCTTGGGGTGCACCAACTCTCTCGGTCCCTCTCCCTGCCCCTTCCTCCAGCTCAGGAGGTGATTCTCAGAACCCTGACCAGGCTAGGGCAGGACAGCCATCCCTGGCACTGTTGCCAGGGCCTAGGGAAGAAGGGCAGGAGGTATGGGAGCAAGCTGGTCTGTGCCGTCTGGTCCCTGCCCTTTGCCAGGCTGTGGGGTAGGGATGGGGTCACTGCTTCTCTGGTTCTGCCAGGGGAGGGGTAGCTGCTGGTCAAGGCTGGCCAGGGAGATGGCCGAGCTGCCCACCCGCACGTTGCCCAAGCAGCCCTGGCTCCAGCGTCTCCCAGTCTGCTGGAGGAGCCCAGGCAGGCTGTTCCCAAGGCCATGGCCCTGGCTGAGGTTTCGTCCTGGCCTGACCAGGCCCTGCCCCCGCGTGGCCACACTTAGAAGCGGAGAGCAGGTCAGGCGTCGTTGAGGAGTCCCGTGGGGAGAAAAGGTGAAGCGGGGAAGGGCAGATGCAGGTCCTCCCTGGGACGCAGTTCCCTGTCCCTGCCTGGCAAGGGCTTTGGGGGGCTTGGGGAACAAGTAGGGCAAGTGGAGGCCCAGCGGGAAAAAGGTTGATAGTAACAGGTTTGAGGGCAGCTTTCAAACCAAGTCTCGCTCTGCAGAGCTTTGGGGCTGATGCCAGGTCCTAGGACCCCTGTGCTGGGACTGTAAGTGCTGTGAGCTCATTCCCAGTGACCTCCTTGTCTTGGCCACAGACAGTGAATGTGGGTTGGCCCCATAGAGGCTGCTACACTAGACAGCTGCATGCTGCTGTCAAGTTCCAAAACCAACTTCATAGCCGGGGTCTAGGAGGCCGGAGAGGGCCTTTTACCTCTGCCTTCTGCTGGGGGCTGGGCAGGGAGGGAGCCCATGGAAACTCGTTTACCCATGAGCCCTGCAGACTCCCAGTGCTCCCAGTGCCCATAGACCCATGAGCAGGTGAATTCCTTAGGGAAAAGGCCAGGCTTGAAAGCCAGAAATGCTGGTCCTGCAATGCTGGAGGAAGTATCTTACTAGACATCGCATAGGAGGGCCCCAAGCCCCAGGGGATCCCCAGAAACCCATTGAGTAGCAAAACTACCAAGAGGGCCCACCATGCACTCCCAGAGTCTACAAATGCATTCAGGGCTAGAGGGCTCCTTGGCTTGGCCAGACTTTGTGCCCCGTGTGAACTGGCAGGGTCAGAGCTGCCCCAGCCGCCCCTCCTAGCCCTTCAGGCCCCAGGGAGCCCTGCTTTGGGCTGTATGTGCAGGACAGGAGTGGGCATGGCGCCTAGCAAGGTGAACTGACCTCATCTGTTCTCACCCCTTTCCCTCCCGGTCTTCTGTGCATTTTGAACTTGGCTGTGGTCTTTCAGACACTTGGTCTCAGGCTCTATTGAATTCCAGGGCAAGTTTTACTCACTCCCCACCCCCACCTTGTTCCTTTAGGAAAAACTCCGGTAGCAAAGAAGCACATATCCTCTAGTTTGCCATCTGGGTTTCCTGGGAGATTGGAAATGCCCCAGGAAGGATCCAGACGGCCAGCACTCACCCCACCCCCATACCTGGGCCACTGAGTCAGGCCAGGATGAGGCTATGGCTCTCTCGGCATGTTCTCCTGCCCCATACTTGGTGGGAATGTCTCCCAGACTTGAGCAGCAGGAGGCAGGAGACCACAGAGGCCCTTGGGGAAGGCTGCCTTTGATCCCACAAACAGAGGGGACATGGAGGAGGGCTGCTGGACCCCACACCTAGCAGGGGACTCGATGGGGGCTGAGTGCTGGAAGGAGCCTGTGCTTGGTCTAGAATGGTGGGTGTGTGGGGGAGAACAGGCCATCGGAAAGGCCATTTCTTCCCTATTCAGGCCTCTGGAATGACCCGAAGCGGGCGCTTTCTCCAGTGTCATGCCTTAGCCGCACACCAGGACCACAGGAATCCCCCCAGACCCTGGGGTCAATATTTCAGGGCTCCTTTTCACCTTCCTCCCACCCAGGCCTGGGAAAGCTTCCTGTGCACCAGAGTTCTTGGAGAGGACAGGGCACAGTTCCCAGTCCTGGCCCAGTGGCGGCAGGGCTGGGTTCCCTGTGCTGCTCAGAGGTGGGGGCCTCCCAAAGCCGATACCTGATTCCTGTTCCCAGAGTGGGGAACTGGGAGGAGTGGACTTCTCAGGACTGCGAACCCTGTCCCTGATTTCCAACAAACCCCAGATGTGTGGAAACGACGTCTTCTGAGTGCAGGGGGAGCCTTGTCCCTTGCAGATGGGCTGCTTCCGCGGACCGCCGGGCGGTTGCAGGCACCATGCCGTGGCCGCCTTAGTGGAGTCCCTTTGCCCACTTCCTGTCCCGGCATCCCCGCTAGGTGCCTGGCTCTTCTGTGCAGATGTCCCGGTGTCTGGAGCCCTGGAGTTTTTTGGTTTGTTTTGTTAAAGAGGTGGAGATGGTGAACCTGAACTCCCTGGGTCTCTGCACGTTGGGGCAGGAGGGAGCCTGATGCCGGCTTAACCCGGCTCACTGAGAAGGTGCAGAAGCGCCGAGCGACTCCCGCCCAGATGCGGCCCACAGTGGGCCGGGGCGCTGCAGTGGCCGGGGCGCTGGGTGTCTGCAACCCCGAGCGTCCCGGCCGCTGGGAGGATACCGGGAATCGGTTTCCCACGCTTTCCCTGTTGATCTCAGAACCTTTAAAAAGCCGCCAACGAATGCCGTTGCCCGGATGCGCTGCGTGTGCCCGGAGCCGTGTGTTCACGCGCGCCCGCAGCCGTGGAGTGGGTCCCCTCCTGCCGCCCGCCGCCCCGGAGCCGCCGACCTGCGCTCGCCGGGGAGGAGCAACTTCGTTACCCACAGCGCCCGCGTCCTGCGGCCGGCGGGGAACTGCGCGCGGCGGAGGTGGCACGACCCGCTCCAGAAAGCTGCCTGCGTGGACGCGGCCGCTGCCTTCAGCTCCCAGTTCTGGCCGCGCGCGGGCAGCAACGAAATAGCCAGCCTCGCAGCCTTCCGGGCCCCGCGGCCGCATTCCGGGAGTCGCCAGGTGGGATCCCGCCTTCCGCGTCCCCAAACGCTTAGAGCCCGGGACAGGGGCCGGCGGCCGGGTCGCCAAGAGGGTTTCCGAATCGGCTGGCTCCGGAATCCACATTCGGTTTGCAAGGCCCCCTCCTCCCGTCCCTCCGCTGCGCTCCCTGCCCCACTCTGCCCGCCCTCTTAGCTTGAAAACCAAATTTTGCCTTTGACCCTGCGAGATTAATACCCCACAGGTGAAACCGTGGAGACGGAGCTGCGGTGGATTTCTTCCCCACGCCTCGGTTTCCCCGTCTGTGAAATGGGGCCAGGCGTACCTGCCTCCTCCGGGGGGCTATTGCAGGGTTGGCTGGGAAGAGTGGCTGGGTGGAAGCCTCCAGGCGGAGGCCCAAGGCCGCCCACCCCGTGGGCCCCGTTTTCTCGTTTGCGTTTGCTTGGCTGCTTGGCGGGGTCAAAGGCCTGCGGGACAGGGCGCGCCCCACCTTGGCTCCAGAGCCGGCCGCAGGTCCGGGTCTCCTCCCCTCACTCCCCCTCCCCGCCGCTCCCGGAACTCTGCTCACTCACTGGGTGAAGGAGGAGGGAAGGCCCGGCTCCAATGCGCCCCCGAGGTCTCCATCCTCCCACCCAGGCAGCACAGAGTCTGGCCCACCCTGGGCTTTCCTCTCAGATCCCTTTGGGTCTCCAGAAGTCCGGAGGTTTCACGCAGACCCGAACCTGATATGGCACCACGGGGCTGCCCGGGGCCTGCGGGGGTTGGAGGAGGTTTGGGAGGAGTGGTGACCCAGGCCCGCGCCCAAGACACGAGGAAGCTAGCGGAAGGGACTGCCACCCCCCTGCCCACCTCTGAGGACTAGGTCTTTTGGAACCGGTGGCAGCTAAGTCCTCACACATCTGGGCAGGGCCCGCAGCAAGGCCTGGGGAGCTGAGACTTAGGATCTGAACAAACTACCCGGCTAGGTGTAGACAGAGCAGGTGTGGTGGCAGGAGCAGGGGGCGGTGGTCTGAGAAGACTTTCCCTGCCTCCCACCTCCCAGGGCAGGACCTAGAGGAAGGAGGGGAGGGGAGTGGGGGGGGGGCCAGGGGGACACCCAAGGCTCTACCCCTCCGTGCTTTGCTTTCTACTAATCCAGTAATCGCAGTGGCGGGGGAGACATGGCTCATAGAGCTGGCAAGAATAGAGCAGAGACCAGGATCGCCCCAGGCAGGGAAATATGACCAATTCTTTAGACTGACCTGAAGGTGATGGAATCAGTCGGGCGTGCTCCCAGGACAGGGCTGCCTGCCCTGCCGCCAGAACCCCGGCGCTCAGGCTCCTGGGGCCAGAGAGAGCAGCCGGGCATAAGTAACTCAGGGACTCCAGTCCCTCACCAGATGCCAAGCTGTGGGGAGCCCTCCCCCCCACACCTTGGGTCCCTGGGCCCCCTCATTAAGGCAGGGGCCCTGAGTGGCAGGGGCACCCCTGTGTGAAGAATAGTGCCCCCCACAGCCCCCACGGGTCACCTTTCTGAGGACCTGGGGTCCTGCCCTGGGGACTGGGGTAAACAGGGCAGGTCCAGCCTTCAGCAGCCTCTCCCTGGAGGGGGAGACACCCCTTCCCCATGGCTTCAGTGGAATTACAAGGGGAACACCCAGGTGGTATTCAGCAGAGGAGAAGAGGGGTGGGCTTCCAGGGTCCACAGACAGCTCGGGGAGCGGGGAGACAGGAAAAACTCAAGCTCAGCTTCTGCCTCCTGACCCCTGGGACCCTCAGGCAACCCCTCCAACTTCCTGGGAGTCCAGTTTCCCAAGGTAGAATGGGCGGCAGCAGAGCCTGGCCCCGTGGTGGGCACAGCTCCCAGGCCAGTGGCTTGCGGTTCCCGGAGCCCTGAAGGTCCCCAGAGGGGCGAGAGCCCTTCTCCCTCCCACCTGTCCTCTTGCAGAACCCAGGGCTGCTCCCAGAGGCTGTCAGCTGGAGCCCTAGAAGGTAACCACCTCCTGGCTGGACACACAGAGGGCCAGTCGGGGCCAGGCGTGAGGACAGATGCCTCAGGAGCCACCTGCTCTGCTCATCCACGAAGGCCTTAACTGGCTCAGGGGCCCCTGAACTCCCAGTTAAGCCTCACCCTCCTGACCTTGTCCTGCCCTGGTGCTGCCAGTGGGGTGGCAGGTGGCGGTGGGTGTCCGAGGGCCAGCTGGTCTCCTGGCAACTGCAGCCCGAGCTTGGCTTCCATTCACCCGTTCCTTCCTTCGCTCTCGCGGGAGGCACTGCAAGGCTCAGAGCTCCTGGAGCTTCCCGTCTATGGCGTGAGTGAAGCAGGAGGGTGTCTCCTTCATCAGACCTGGAGCTTCCAGCTCACTTTCTCCAAAGCTCCAGAACCTGGCCCAAGGCTGGGCTGTGCCCTGTCCTTAGTGAAAGAATGGATGAGTCACAACTCAGTGAAGAGAGCTGAGCGAGTGTTTCCCTTAGGGCTCCCCAGGCAGTTTCAGCCCAGGGGAAGACCCAGGGAGATGAAGGCGACCTTGCAGGCTGCGGCGGGTGTGGAGGCAGCAGCCTGGGGCAGGGACTGTGCTGAGTGCCTGAGGCCGAGCCACCCCTCTGTAGCCTCCATCATCCATCAGGTCTCAGAGGGCTGCCCTGTGTTCAGTAAGCCAATGCCAACACCATGTGACGAAGATACAGCAGTGAGCAGCTGCCCAACCCCCTTGCGCTGTGTTTGAAAAAAGAAGCTGGCTTATTCAGGGGTTCCCAGCAGGATGGGGGCGGGGGCAGGGACCATGGCAGAGCGAGAGTTCTAGAAGAGAAGTTGGTCCTTCCACGGGCTCCCTGGCCCGGGTGCTGTGCCAGGCAGGGTGCTGGGCATTGCCCTGCTCATTTCCCACCCCTGGGTTGCAGCTGGGAACTGTGTGGCCTTCACAGTCCTGTGAGGTGGGTGCTGTGCTGTGCCCACCTTACAGATGAGAAAACTGATGTTCAGAGGCTTGAGTGACCTAGTCAAGGACCTGCCCTTACAAGCAGATTCGGGACTCAGAGAAGAGCTCCCTGACCACAAAGCCCCAGGTGACTCACACTGCAGGGATGCTGAGCTCCAAGGTGTGCAGGGTGGCAGAGATTCGTCTGCAGAGACATCTCTGCCTGGGACCCTTTCCTGGGGCTCCTAAGGTGCTAGGAGTGTGAGCACCATGAGAGCCCACTGCAGTCATGCCACCCAGAGGGTCCTCTGGCCTCTCGGTCACCTATGTGCTTCTGACAATGACCAATACACTTACCTGCCAGGGTCCAGAATGACTCAGCCATTGGAGTCTGTATTTCCTGAATCCGCCTCTCACTGGCAAGTCCTGAGCCCCCTTCCTTGCCAGCACCACCGTTGGAGCAGTTACCCAGGACTGCACTGCGGCTGCTGAGGTCAGGGAGAGACCCTGTGCTCCGGCCAGGGGCGTTGGGGGCTCGGTTGGGACTGACGCACCAAGCGAGTTGTACTGAGTGTTGAGGCTTCGGGAAGGTATTTTCAATCACCAAATGTGCCATTAAAAAAATACGTGTCAGTTACGTGTGCACTAAGCCTGGACCACATGGGACATTGTCGTTCCAATAAACACGAATAAGCCAGTTTTCACATTAGAGAAATAACAGTTTCTTGTACAAATGCGGTGCTTTTAGAAGAGGTTAATTAATAAACAGCAGGTAATTGTTTGTGGCACATTGTGGCAGAGGGTAATTTTAATTTTAGAGGATGGAAGGGCCAAATACCCCTCCCCACTTAGCATTTTTCTGTAATAATCACCTCGGCTTCACCTCTGCCTTTCATTTTTACAGCTGGAGTTGCTTATCATCGCTCCAACTTTCACTAAAAAGGAAAAACTATCATTTAAACAAAGCTATCGAAAACCCAGCATCATTTGTGGATTTTTAACATAAATAAATCATACAAACTAAGATTTATGTTCATGGAATGATGTCATTCATTGAAGGCCGCCTTCCCAGTCAAATCCGTGTTCAGTGATTTTGCTTTGATGGGGTATGCTTTTTGCTAAGTAGGAAAAACCCGTTCGGTCATCCTTGCTGCTGTCTTTTCTCACTCTGGCCCAGGACATCAGAAAGGTTTCTCCCTGGGCCAGTCCACAGAGCCAAGTCCAAATGGTGAAAATGGTTTTAACTCCATAGACTGCTTTTAAACCATAAGTCTGAGATTAGGATTGTTGAACCTTCCCGAAGAATTTGTGCAAACCTCAGCAGAAGTTATCGTCCTCCCAGGTCTCCCAGAACCTAGAGTGAGTCTCATTGCAGAGTAACACATCTGCAGAAGCTTCACCAAATTGAAATGAGTGAGGAACATTAAAATCAGCACACGCTGCCTATCCCTGCAATGCAATATTGTGTCACCATGGAAAGGAGTGGAGATCTGACACTTGCTATGTGAATGAACCTTGAAAACATGATGCTCCCTGAAAGAAGTCAGTCATAAAAGGTCACACATTTTGTGATTCCATTTCTTTGAGATGTCCAAGATGGGCCAATCCATACAGACTGAGGCAGGTTTGTGGTTGCCTGGCTGTGGAAGTAGAGGCACTGGCACCCTGGGCCAATGAAGACACCAGAACAGATGGTTCACACCAGAGTCCAGCTCCAACCCACCAGGCATTGACAGGAGACCATTAGCTGGAAGCCAGTGGGACGTCAGGCTTACTAATAGGGGCAGGTGTCCACCAGGCTGCAGTGAAGCTTCCATTTGTCCACGCAACATGCTTCATGCTTGCTATGTGCCAGGGACAACCATAGGCCCTGGGGCTGCCACAGTGATGGAGACAGACGCTGCTCCCATCAAGCTCATGTTTTCATGGGGAAAGCAGCAATATACATAAGGGTCTGATGTGCCAGGCTAGATGATTCTAGTGCAATGGACACAAAGGAGGAGAGAGGTGAAGGCACAAATTTCAATCGGTTGTTCAAGAAGGGCCTCACTGATGTGGTGACATTTGGGCAGAGACATGAGGGAGTGATGAGGGAGCCACCCACGTGTCTGGGGGAACAGCAGTGGGGCAGAGGGAACAGCCACTGTGAAGGCCCTGAGGCTCCAGTGACCAGTGTGGCTGATGCAGAAGGACAGGGAGGGGAGGAGGTAAAACAACGTAGAGTCAGTGGGAGGACAAATTAAGGAATTAAAGTTGCACTCTCTGCTGATTTTAAAGTAGGGAGATGATTCTGGATTATCTGAGTGGGCTTAATGTCCTGACTCTCCTGCCTCCCTCTTCCACTTTTAAGGGTCACAAGGCTCCAAAAGTGGAAGAGGGAGACAGGAGAGTCAGGGTCAGCATGGAGAGGAGAAATGTGAGAATATGAGGAAGATTCCTCCGGCTGTGCTGGTTCTGAAGACAGAGGAAGGGGCCATGAGCCATGGGTGAATACAGACTCTAGAAGCTAAAAAAAAAGCAAAGAAATGGATTTTAGAGCCTCCAGCAAGGGAGGCAGTGCTGCCCATGCCTCGACTTTAGGACACTGAGATCCATTTTAGACTTCTGACCCACAAAACCAAAACCTAGTAAGTATGTGCTGTTTGAAGTTGCTAAGTTTGTAGTAATTTGTTAGAGCAGCCACCAGAAATTTATATGGGGAGGAAATGGGGATTTCATCTGTCCATGGTCAAGACATTCAGGGTGTGGTAAGAATCTGAGCCTGCCTCACCTACATGAGAATGAGAGAGTAATGACCACAGAATAGTGGTAATGGCAGCCCACATATCTGGCTCCTTAGCCACTCATGACAACATGGACTGGCTGCCTTCTATGTCCTGCCCGTGGCCATTCTTTAGGGAAATTCCTTTGCATCTCCTGCTACCTTTACAGACTACATATCTTGTTGGATTACTTTCTCATTTTCATGAAGCATATCTTCTGGTAACTTCTGATAAAAGATGCATAGGAGATACATATTTTAGGACTTCTGCAGTACCAGAAGGATAGTTGAGCTGGGTATAGAAATGCTTTGTTAGTTCTTCCTACTCTCTGTTTTCTTTCTTCTTTATTTTTGGAACTTGATACTTATATGAGCTTTCTTCTGCCCATTTAATCTGTGTGTCCACCAATTGGCTTTGTTCTATCTGTTTTGATATGTCTTTCCTGAGGCATCTGCTGATCCTATGCTTTCTGCCCATGATGAGGAGCTGACTAGAAGATCTGACAGTAAGAAAGGAGGGATACATTGTCCTTGAGCCTCATGGATGGGGATGATCCTGAGAACCTTGGATGCCAGTTATCTTTAGGAACCGACCTGATTACCAGAGAAGTTACCCAAGGAGTAAGGGAGGGGTCTGGTTGCCAGTCTTCTTGGAGTCAACGTGGAGTTGAAGGAAGGGGTCTTTGAAGTCAGCTGCCTGAATTCTGGGAAATAAACTTCTGGACTTTTGCTGGCGTTGGGGAGGAGTGGTCCCTCAGGGAAGATAAGGAGGGTATAGGAATCTAACTGGGTCATAGGCCCCTTTCACTCTAGCCTTCCTGATCATAGCCACCCTTGCACCCCAAGTCCTAGAGGTACTCTTACACCCAGCCCTCAGTGTTGGAGTTCCCCTTGGTTACAAAGCTGGTAAAATATCACCTTCTTTCTCTCTAGTCAGGACTTTCTCTTGTCTCTGACCCAGTTGCCACAGGTCCAGGTCCATCAGCAATTCAGCTTTCAGAAAGGAGGCCCACCCTCACGGGTAGATGCCTTTTAAAATCTCTTTATTGTGGTTGAAGTGGAGCTTACAGAGTGGACACCATTGAATGGGTGTGTGTTCAATTTGCCATCTTAACCCAGAGGCTTTTGTAGCTATTTTAGAAACACTATATCCATTCTTAGGTCCAGGCCTGATACCACAACCAGTGTCCACACACAGGGTCTCTGATTCCACAGGGTTCTTTGGGTTCTGATCAGTGATCTTTCTAGAGCCTCTCCCATGACCTGCTTCTAGCCACAAAACCAGCTAACAAATGCAATTTGTGTTTCCTACAAAGGAACGTTGTGTAGGCAGTGAACATAGTGACAAGAGTGCATGCTTATCTCCATACTGACGGGTCCACCTTTAAGAGTGTCAGCTGAAATATTAACAGTGGCTTTCCTTGGGTGATGAAATCTGAGAATATTAAAACTTTTTTTCTCTGTTATGTTTCTCTGCATTTTAATTTTTGTCCACTGACTATATATTAGTGGTAGAAGTGTTACAATGTTTAAAAATGAGAACATCAAGAAATTAGCCCACCGTGGTGGTGGTGTGTTCCTGTGGTCCCAGTTACTCAGGAGGCTGAGGCAGGAGGATCTCTTGAGCTCAGGAGGTGGAGGTTGCAGTGAGCCAAGATCTTACCACTGCACCCCAGCCTGGGTGACAGAGTGAGATCTTTTCTCAAAACAAAAATAAACATGAGAAGAAATTCCTATCTGTCCTTCAAGAACCAGCTCAGCCTCGGCTACTTCCCGGGAGCATTCCATATTCCCACTGTTGGGAATGCTTCCTGCACCACATTAAATAAACTGCATTTTCTAAATATCGCTTTGATTTCTGAGTTTGTCTCTCTTCTGCTGGGGTGTGGACAGCTGGGCATATGCTCTCAGCACATCATATGTTTGGAAGGGAGGGGCACGGGCGTCTGGTCCCAGGCTCCCAGCCCCAACGGGTAGGCAGGTGGTGGGTGTGCAGGTTCTGGAGTGATTCTGGCTGCATCATGGCCTCGCTCTGGGGTGGAGCTGGTCACAGCACTTTTGGCCTCAGTTCCCCCCTCTGTAGATGTGACCACTGTAAAGGAGAGGGTCATTGCATGTAGGGCTAAGGATCACACTCCATGCACAGTGCACAGCCCAAAGGCTGGGTCTTTGTAAATGAGGTCAAATACAATTTAACATCTGAACCATTTTTAAGTGTAGCATTCAGTGACGTTGGGCACATTCATTCAGCTGTGCAGCCGTTGGCACCCTCATCTCCAGTCACTGCTCATTGCCCCTCCCCAGCCCCCAGCACCCCCCATTCTGCGTTCAGTCTCCATGGGCTTGGCCACTCCAGGGACCTCACAGAAGTGCAGTCACACAGGATTTGCTTTTTTGTGACTGTCTGTTCTCACTTGGCTCATGTCCTCAAGGTTCAGCCGTGTTGTCACACATATCAGAATTTCCCTCCTCTTTAAGACTGAGTTGTCCTGCATCACGTGACTGGCACTCTGGCCACTCCCATGCAGACTCAGCCTAGGGTGCACCTTTGGTGTCCTTCCTGGCCTGGACATGCAGCTTCCCAATATTCTCCAGGGCAGGGGTGTGGCCGCTCCACAGTCCTGGGAATCCACAGGCACCTGAATACCTCCTGATTCCTTTCAGGCTAGAGCAGCCAACACAGGCTCCTCCTCCCACACACCCTGCGATGAGCTGGCTCTGCTCCCACATCCCATGCCCCTCTGCCTCCTTGAAGGGGGTGGCCTGGAGGGGCCCGGACACAGACAGGCCTTAATCCCCACAGGAGGGGCAGCTCCTCCTTCTAGGGCAGTTCCTGCCTTCTTGTCCACTGCCCCCACCTCTTCCCACGCTTGTCACCTCAAAGGCTTCTTGGTGGTCCCAGAACCTCCCCACCCAGCACAACTCTGAGGGTGTCACCCAGAGGGGGGCTTCTTGCCTGTTTTGTTTTTCTTTATTTCCCAGTGCATAGAGAAGAGCATGGCACACATAAGATGATCAATAAATGATTGTGGGATGGATGGATGGAAGATGAGTGAAAAGTGGATGGATGGATGGAGGTTGGATGGATGAAGAATAGGGTGTGGATTGGTGGATGAATGAATGAATGGATAATGGGTGTGTGTGTGGAGGGATGCATGGATGGGTGAGTGGAATGATGAATGGATGGGTGGATGGGTGGGTGGGTGTTGGGTGGATGGGTGGGTGGGTGGGGTGTGTTAGTGGATGGAGGATGGATGGATAATGGTTGTGTGTGATGGGTGGGTAGGTGCTGGGTGGATGGCTGGATAGATGGATGAGTGGATGGATGGATGGGTGGGTGTGTTAGTGGATGGATGGGTGAGTGGATGGTTGGATCAGTGGGTGGGTGTTGGGTGGATGAGTGGATGTGTGGATGGGTGGGTGGGGTGGGTGAGTGGATGGAGGATGGATGGATGGGTGAGTTGGTGGATGGATGGATGGGTGGGTGGGTGGGTGGATATATGGATAGATGGATGAGTGGGTGGGTGGGTGGGGTGGGTATATGGACGGATATATGGGCAGATGTTGGGTGGATGAATGGGTGAGTGTGTAGGTGGGTGGGTGGATGTGTGGATGGATGGGTGGTGGGTGGATGTGTAGGTGCATGGGTTGGTGGGTGTTGGGTGAATGGGTGCTGGGGTGGGTGGGTCGATGGATGGATGGATGAGTGGATGAATGATGGGTGGGTGGGTGGATGAATGAGCAAGTGGGTGAATGGATAGGTGGGTGAGTGTTGTGTGGATGGGTTGGATGTGTGAGTTGGTGGATGGATAGATGAATGGACAGATGGTTGGTGGGTGGGTGCTGGGTGGATGGATGGGTGAATGGTTAGGTGGATGGGTGGGTGTGTGAATAGATGGGTGGGCAGGTGTTGGGTGGATGGGTGAGTTGGTGGATGAGTGGGTTGGTGGATGGGTGGATGGATGGTAGGTGGATGTAGGGTGGATGGATGAGTGGATGGGTAGGTGGATGGGTAGATGGATAGATGGATGGATGGTTGGGTGGATGTGGGGAGGGATGAGTGGATGGTGGGTGACTGCAGGTGGGTGGGTGGGTGGGTGGATGGATGGATGGGTGGTTGGATGAATGGATAGGCGAATAGGTGGGTGGATGAATGGGTGGGTGGATAGATGGATGAGCAGATGTATAGGTGCATAGATGGATAGATGAACCCCTCCACTCAATGAGCTGATTGTAAAACTGATGCCTAGTAGGAGAATGGCATCTGCTCCAAGGCACAGAGCACTCTGGCCACAGAACTGCCCTGAGACCCCAGACCTCTGTTCTTGTGCCCAGCTGTGCGTAGTGGTAAGTTTCACCTTGACAAGCAGGTCTGATCCATGTCTTCTGTTGACCCAGGGTGGAGCGCTCCAGGGACAGACACTTGATCCTCCTCATCTCCATTTATTGTACCTGTAGGTTCAAGTACAGTCCCTAGTCTGTCACTCCCAGGCCTGTGACCCTGGGCATAGGACCCAAGAAAGAGAGGTGATACCCACCTCTCAGGATTGCTGCCCAGAACAAATAAAGTGATGGGCTTTATAGAAAGAGGTGAGTGGCAAGCAGATGGCATCCATGCCCTTGCCCTGCCAGACACTCTGCCCACTGTCCCTCATTCTGCTGAAACGGCTCCCCAGGGTCCCCAGAGATGTCTGAATGACCCTGCCATATCCGTTTTCCTGGGCCCCCTGCAACACACTTGTGCAACTCATTCCTGAAAATGAACACACATCTCATGGCTTTCCTGAGGGCCCTCTCTGGAACAGGGTCTTGCCAGGATCCTACGTCACAAAAAGGCTTGAGTTTGGGATGTTCCAAGGAGGATGGGAAATGCTGGAAGCTGCTTGGAGTGGGAGGGTCTTTCCTGTAACCCCCTTTTGTGCTCCACCCTCCCACTGCCCCAACACACAGACAGCCACACACTTCCTGTGAGGTCAGGCATAGCCAGAGCCAATTCTCCCCGGCCCTGCCCATCTCCCTTGGCTGAGTCCCTGAAGCCAACACAGCAGGGCCCAGCTAAGCCCCTGACCTCACCCCCGAGAGGAAGCAGTGGCCCTTCCTGGACTCTACCTGGGTAGGCATCTTGGGGCCACCCCTGAGGCTCACAAGCTGCCATGCCAGCAGGTGTGATGGGCACTGTGGTGGGGGCTGGCCTCTGATGGGGGTGGCACAGGTACCCCCAGGGTCTTTGGCCAAACAGGCAACTTTGTGACCCAACATGGTCCCCTGTGGGGAGGCACTGGACTCTCTGAAATGAGGCACTGCAGAAACAGCTGCCCTGTGCTCCAGGGTTTTTATGAGTTTGCCTTAAAGATTTTATTTCCAGAAAAAACCGAAAGCAATTAATCCAAATTACAGAGTAGTCATTTGCAATAATATTTGCTTTAAATATGTGTATTTTTTAAAACCCCTAAGCTGTGGGCCTCAAGTGAGTTCGAGGTGAAGGACACCTTGAAATAATTACATTTTTTGCTCATTTTATGTTGTGAAAATGGCTTAGTTGATTTGGGGAAGAATTGTAAAATATTCAGCTGACTCCCTTATAAAGGCAACATTATTTTTTTCTCCCATTTTTGCCAGCATAACCATACCGTGATCATTTACCCTCTTTCTTGGAAGGTGGATTCCTTCCAGAAGATGCCCTAAGCATTGGTCCAGCTGCCTCTCAGCCCAACCCTGACCAGCCGTGGGGAGCCACGCCCATCCCAGAGGTATGCCTGCTGGGTGGCAATGGGGCCTAAGAGGACCAGGGTCTGTGGGGGTCCATATGCTGGCAGAGGAGCCAGCTGCTCCTCGGGTTGGGACCAAGGAGGGGAGCCAAGGTTTACCTGCCTGCTTTGCCTCAGTGATGGCCAGAACCACGCCCATTGGGATGGCTGTGGTCCAGAGAGAGGGCATCCCATCCAGCCAGGCCCCTCTGCCAATGAATATGCCTGTGAGAGGCTTAGGGGCTTGGGAAAAGGGGCTGTATTTAAAAATTAAATGGTTCTCAGTGTAACATCAGTACACGGGGCCGTGCTGAGGCAGGAGGCCTGAGGGAATGAGGACCTCAGGCAGGACTCTCCTTCCGTGTTCCAGACATGGTACCATCCAGCACCTCCTTCCTCAGACTGATGAAAGTTTGTGATTACATCCCCCTAGTATTTGACTTGCCTTGTCATTTTCTTAACACTCTCTTTTGAAGAACCAACATTTAAATTTTAGCAACATCCTATTTTTTTTTCATTTGTGATTCGTGCTTATGTTTTTGCCTTGTTTAAAAAATGCTTTGCCTCACTCAAGGTCACCAAGATTTTCTGCTATGTTTTCTTCATTGTTTTGCATATTTATAGTTTTCATTCTTATATTTAGATATAGGATCTGTTTCAAGTTAGTTTTTTTATGTGGTGTGAGGTAAGGGTTGACGTTAATTTCTTTGCATTTAAGTATCCAATTGTTGCAGTATTATGTGTTGAGAAGTTTATGACTTTCCCATTGAATTGCTTTGGCAACCTTGTCAAAAAGTAATTGGCCGTATATGTGTAGGTCTATTTGTGGACTCTGTTCCATTGATCTGTGTGTCTCTCCTTTTGCCAATTCCACGCTGTCTTGATCACTACAGCTTTATGATAGCCATGAGTTATAGTGTAAGTCTTCCAACTTTTGTCTTGTTTTTCAACAACATTTTAGGCTATGTTAAGTCCTTTGCATCTCCACATAAACATTAAAACTAACTTGTCAACTTCTAAAAAAAAAAAAAGAAAAGCATTCTGGGATATTTTTATTGGTATTGCCTTGAATTTATAGATCAATTTCAGGAGAAATGACATTCTAACAATATTGAGCATTCCAATCCATGAACATGTTATATCTCTCCATGTAAGTAACTTTAATTTGCCTCAGCAATATTTGGTAATTTACAGTGTATGACATGAGCTTTACACACTTTTTAATGTTAAATTGATCACTAAGTATGTAATATATTTATTCTATAATTTTTAAAAATTTTAATTTTCAGTTGTTCATTGCTAGGATTTAAAAGTCCAATTAATTTTGATACACTGACCTTCTATCTTGTGACCTTGCTAAACTCACTAATTCTTGTAGCGTTTTTGTAGTTTTGTTTGGATTTCCTACATACATGAATATGTCATCTGCACCTATTTATCCCTGAGTGAGCATTAGCAGTTTGTGTCTCTTGGAAATTTATCCCCTTCATATTAATTTTTTAATTTATTGGCATAAAGTTGTCCGTAATACCTTCTTATTATCCTTTCACTGCTTGTGGGCTTGCTAGTGATGCTCCTTCTTTCGTTTCTGACACTGGACATTTGTGTCTCTCTCTTTTCTTACAGATCAGCCTGGCTAGAGGTTTCTCAATAAGCCTTTTAAGAGGTAGCTTTGGGATTTATGGATTTTTCTCTATTGTTTTTCTATTTTATTTATTGTTGTTATTTTCTTTAATATTTCCTTCTGCTTACTTTGGGCTTAAATTATTCTTCTTTCTATAGTTTTCAAAGAAGGGGGTTTAGATTATTACCTGCAAAATTTTCCCTTTTTCCAACATAAGAATTTCATGTTACAAGTTTTTCTCTAAGCACGGCTTAACTACATCCCAAAAGTTTTGAAATATTATGTTTTCATTTTTATTTGTGTCAAAATATTTTTAAATTCCTTTTGTGATTTATTTTTTGACCCGTTAGTTATTTAAGAGTGTATTGGTTACTTTCCAAATAATTGGGGATTTTCACACATCATTCTGTTATTGATTTCTAGTCTTTTAAATGATTTCAGTCTTTCTAAATGCATTGGGAGTTATGGTTCAGGATATGGCCTCTCTTGGTGATAGCTCTGTGTATACTTGGAAGTGACGTGCCCTTTACTGTCGTTAGGTGCCTATACATTGGGGATCACTACGTTCTCTTGAATGATTGAACCTTTTATTATTATGAGATGTTCTTCTTTATCCATGAAAATATATCCTATTCTCAAATCGACCTTTACTGATGTTAACATAGCAGTTTCAGATTTTTTTGTTGATGTTTACATGGTGTATCTTTTCTCATCTTTTAACTTTTAATCTACCTTGTTTTTGTCTTTAAAGTGAGCGTCTTGTAGACAGCATGTAGCTGGGTCTTGACTTTTTAAATCCACCTGACAATTTCTGCCTTTTAATTATAATGTTTTGGCCGTTTACATTTAATGTGATTATAGATATGTGTGAGCTTTGGGCTTATGAGCTATACCTTTTATCTTTAGTGGTTGGTCTAGAATGTATAGAATACATCTTACTGTAACAATGCAACTTCAAATACTGTTAAACCACTTTACACAAAGCGTGAGAGCCTTGGGGCAGTGTGGCGGCTCCTACCTCCCCTCCTCTGTTCCTTGTGCTGTTGTCAGACATTTTTACTTCCTCATTATTGTAAATTTTAATATATTATTTTTTCCTTTGAGAAGCTATGTTTTACATTTACAAAATTATTTAAATGCTTTTATATTTACACAGATATTTGTCATTTCCAGTTTCCCTCACTTCTCTGTGTAGGTTTATGTTTCTACCTGTGTAATTTCTTTCTTTATGAAGAAAGTTATTTAATATTTGTTGTAGTGCTGTCTACTGACCATAAATTCTCTCAGCTTTTACTTGACTGAAAAATTATTTATTTGCTTTCATTTTTGAAAGATAGTCTTTATTAGGTGTAGAATTCTAAGTTGATCTTTTTGTCTTTCAGTGCGTTAGAGAAGTCTGCACTGTCTTCTGGCTCACACAGTTTCTGTGAGAAATCCACTTACCCACTTATTTTTGTTCATTTTTACATAGCATGACTTTTGTTCTCTGGTTATTTGTAAGATTTTCCTTTTGTCATCTTAATGATTTGATTATGATACGCTTGGGAATGGTTTTCTTTGATGGAATTCTTTTTTCCTGCTTGGGGTTCGTTGAGATTCTGAATCTGTGCGTTTACAGTCTTCAATCACATTTTGAAAACTTTGAGCAAGTGCTCCTCCAGCTCTCCTACCGTGCTGCTTCTCTTCCTGCCCTTCACAAAGCCCAATACACGCACATCAGGCTGTCTTCCATTACTCCACGGATCGCTGCTGTTCTCTCTGTTTTTTCAATCATTTTCTCTTTATAGATCATTTGAGATCATTTCTGTTGTTACCTTAAGCCCAGGCCTTTCTTTCCCTCTCTTTGTTTATTATATGTTTTTAATTTAAAAGTTTTCACAACCAGGGTCTTGCTCTGTTGCCCAGGCTGGTTTCAAATTCCTGGCCTCAAGCTATCCTCCCTGCTCAGCCTCCCGCGTTGCTGGGATTACAGGCGTGAGCCACCGCGCCTGGCCCAGGGTCTTTCCCTAATGCCCACTAGATACTGTCAGGTACAGATATTCACGGAAGAATCTGAGATACAGTGGATGCATTTCTAGAAAAATGGCAAGTGCCACTCCTGGCCCAAGAAGGAGTGCAGGCACACTCCACTCTACTGCTCTTCACAGATACCACAG